GCACAAGGGCAAGGCAACTTACTCTTGCGCCTCGATGCCGAAGGTCGCCATGTGATGATCTACCGTCGCCCACTCAAAACGAGCACCACGAAGAACCACAGGCACGGCGACTGACAGGGGGGGCACGAGGAAGGGAGAATGAAAGGGGGGCGTTGAGGTAGGAAATATTATCAAGGTAGCACACGGTAGGGAATATCAGGGGGGAACCACAGGCACGGAGACTGAAAGGGGGAGCACGAGGAAGGGAGAATGAAAGCGGGGGGTTGAGGTAGGAAATACGGATGCGCATACGGATGGGAGAAGGCGGCAGGGCGTGTGTGGATGGGAGTTTGCGGCATGGGGAGGACGGGGTGGTACACGCGGGGAGGACGGGGTGGTACACGCGGGGAGGACGGGGCGGTACACGCGGGGAGGACGGGGCGGTACACGCGGGGAGGACGGGGCGGTACACGCGGGGAGGAAGGGGCGGTACACGCGGGGAGGACGGTGGGAATGGGACTCGCGCCGAGAATGTCGTGAATGCGACCAAGGGAGGATTGTAAAAATAAGAGGCGAGGAGATGAAGGAGAGCGAACGCGTTCCGCAAGGCAAAGCATGTTCGCCCATCGAGCTGAATGCGGGCTGCACGTCACTTCAAATCCCTTCCCTTGTCATCAAGTTTCGCGAAATGGGCGGGTTCAATCCAAACCTCGCCCTCTGAACTGGAAATAGGACTTCACCTGCGCGTGGCGGTAGGTGTCTCTCTCAATACCCTTTCGGCTGGAACTGTCTCCGCGATTTCCCGCGCGCCAAGCGTGACGGGATATCTACAGTACTGTCCTGTCGACGGCGTGGATATAGCCAATCAAGGGCCCATATGCTCGATAAAGCCCCACGACCCAGAAACGTGGTCCACTACCCACGATGTTATGCCTACTGTGGTCGATTACACCGCCCTGGATCCCTGAAGTGGAGACCTAAAATGGCGGATGCAGTGGTGATTGAGCAGGACAATATTCGAGGCCTTGTTCAGTAGGCACCCAAGCCTGACTGAGGGTGGTTCGGGAGTCTTCTTTGGGGACATTTAAAGCCCCAAACCGTTATGGGAACACCAAACGAATCAATTTGCAACTCGGTCTGGGAGCAACTCAGAGTGACGAAGCCGAGTAGGACATTTCCTCCGCATTCCTTTCTGATCCCTCGAGGGTCAAATGTGGACCCTCGTTGTGCGCCAGCCGAACAGGGCCTACGATTCTCATTCCCTATTCGTGGTACGGTACTCGCTGGAATGCTGCGAAGGGATAACTGTACAAGCCGACTCATATACGGTAATAAACAATCCACAAAAGCAAACACAACAATCCATAAAATAAACAAAAGCGATGCGGCCCACAATAGGCCAATTTCAGTGTCACTAGACACCATACCACACTCCTTCCTGAGCAGCTCACACAGCAACAGCTAGTTGCCTCGAATCATGAGCCACACAAACAGCAACGGCGCCATGGCCAGAATCGTCCATGGCAGCAGCTGAATCAGCATCTTCTCCTGCTTCGTCTCCACATACTTAGTCTTGGGCATATACCGCCCAAACCCCGACAGGAACATGCGGTACATATAATCATCAAACAGCGACGTCTCTTTCGCCGCCTCCGCGTCCGTGCCGAAGAGAGCCTGCGCGGCGCGGCGCTTGATGTTGGGGTAGGGCGCGCGGAACTGGATGAGCGACTCGTACAGGCTCTTGGCCTCGGCCTCCCGCCCGAGCTTCTCCAGGCAGGCAGCCTTCTGGAGGGTGGCCTCGCCGTGGTGGTATGACTGCTCGCCTGCTTGCTTCAACACCTTGTTGTAATGCGCCATTGCTGTCTCGAAATTGCCCTGGAGGAGGCAAGGAAATATGGAAGGTACATGGGATGATGGCTAGATCTAGGGCACTCAACAAAAACACGCAGGCTGCTTCAGCGCCTTGTTGTAATGCGCCATTGCCGTCTCGAAATTGCCCTGGAGGGTAAATGGACGGGTGGGAGGGCATGTGGCAGGAGTTAGGACCTTAGCAGAAGGACACAGGCTGCTTAAGCACCTTGTTGTGAAATGCCAGGGCATTGGATTCATGCTGGCACCATCCTATCAATGCTGGGAACGAACGGAGCATGAAGCATCAATCCTGGCGCATGCTTGACGAGCGCTGCCATTCAGGGGGTAATATTCGTACGCGCCTAACATTCTCCCCACATGAAAACTGTGGGGGTGGGTTACGTTCTGCTTGCATTCTCGCTCCACATTCATTCGCTTTGCACATCGGAAGATAGCGGGAACGGAGTGGGGTGTAGGGGAGTGAATGGAGGGGGGAGGTTTTGAAGGGAGCGGAGAATGGAGGGGTAAGAAAGAACAACCATGCATGCTTGTAGATTACGTGATCGTTGCGTTGTTCAGTTGTGATATGGCCATCCATAATCAAAACACGTTCTGAGTAGCAAAAAGCGGCTGTGCGTGGCGTCATCGCTCACAGCGCGTACGCACCTGGTCGAACATCAGCTCGCCTAACTTGACTTCCTGGTCCAGATGCGCTCTCGCCGCATTCTCCCTCAAATTATCGAGTTTCATCACGTTTCAAAGCAACACATAACATCATCTGGACTGGACCAGAAATTCTGGTCCAGATACGCTCACGCCGCGTCCTGCCTCAGCTTCTCATGTCTGAATCCGTCTCAGAACAGCCTATGGCGCGTACGCACGTGGTCGAAGTCTTGCCGGACTTGAGCTGGTGGTCCAAATGCGCTCTCGCCCCGCCAGCCTCAGATTCTAAAGCTTTAAGACGTCCCGAAACAGCTTACAGCGCGTACGCACCTGGTCGAACATCATCTTGCCGAACTTGAGCTCGTGGTCCAGGTGCGCCCTGGCGGCGTCCTGCTTGAGCTTTTCCTCGCGCTCCTTCAGCTCCGCCGCGATCTTCTTCTGCGCCGCCGCCACCAGCCGCGCCTTCTCCTCCTCGCTTATCTCGTTCTGCGCCGCCGAACCGCGCCGTAAAGCGGCCGAACGAAAGGGAAAGTTCGGGAAAGAAACGAAATCAAGAAACGGTCACGGAGAATGAAGAACGGTACCATGATGTATCGCTACCATGATGTATCGTTTTAATATGGTGGAAATAACGAGTAAATGAGAGAGCGAAGGGCAGCAAGGGAGGACATACAAGATTAACATGCGGTTCAACTCCAAAGGGCTTGCCCCTCGCGATTCCCGTCGACCTTGGCCGGTGTGTAGAAGAAGCATCGCCACTGCCGATGGAACGAGGTGGCGGAGATGCCGTTAATCGTTGCGACGCGGATGAGCTTTCCGCCTTCGCAGCCACCACGGGAGCGCTGAGCGCGCTCTGCGTTAGTGCTGCTACTGTGCACGCCATGAGGGGTAACTGGCGTAGATAACTTTAAGAACCTGATAAACTTCTGGGCACCTAATAACCTGTGGGATAACAGCGAGATATAAAAGGTCGTGAAAGGAGAGCGAGCAGTGTTCACCTAAAATGGGAGCCTCAAGCTTGAATCCGACAACTGCTCGTCTGTTGCGACGTTTCTGGCGTAAAATGAACACAGGATGATGGACAGAACAAGCTTGTTGCTTGAAGCGTGTCACAAAAGCTTGGTAATGTGGCTAAGGCTGGGAAACAGGAAAGTAGGTATGGTGACGAAGCGTATGGCTGAGTAGGTAGAGCGTACACACTATCTGTAGATTTGCTTAGGGAGTCAGATTGGTAGCGTTTTGAGTTTCACTTGAGTGACACAGCCGAGATGCGAACGACATTGGTTCGTCCCTAGAGCGGTTCAAACAAGTGAGGAGCAAGGCCTTGGGCAAGAAGTTAGGTTCAGAGTGACTTCGTTGCGCAGGAGGGTCGAAGAAGTCCTAGTCAGAACGGCTTCCAAGACATGTCATGCCAAACGTGGTGGTTCGGATGGAAGTGGTTTGGCGTCAACATGTCTTCCCTTCCACGGATTCGGCACAAACAGCTGGCACAGATTTCCGTGGCTGCTGGAGAGAAAGATCTTCGAGTGGAGCAGATCCACGTCATCTGTGACACGATGGCAGACACTTCTGAATCAGCAGGAAGCATCCATTATTGAGGTTCATCTAGAGTACGGTGTGCGGTGTAGATCATGGAGGTAAGATTGCATACCATGTCTTCAGCTTAGGATAATTTTCCGTAATTACTAGGCCCGTCATCGCTCGCGCGCGAGTTCGCCACCCCTCGGTTGTAACGTGGGGTTCTGTAGGAATTCGGGGTGGGGGGCCGGGGCGGGGGGCGTGGGCAGAGCCCCGCCCCGCGCCAGCCTGGCGGGGGATTCACGCGAGGGAGTTGGCCGCCCTGACGCTCGGTCGACCGTCACCCCCCTGCGTCGTCCCAGGCAAAACGGGTGCATCACCCCGAATTCCGATGAGCGATTCAGAGGGGAAAAGCACTGGAACTGAGGGTCGTTCTGAGGACGTGTTGAAAGTGCAAATATCGCAGGATCGTCTGCATATATCGATCCCCACAATCGAGTGGGCAGATCGTTTGGCGAAACGTGGCGACCGCGACGTTGTAACGATCGCGGCTGAAAATTGACAGATTTCCCGCGAACAGTGATCAGTCGCATTCTCACACTGTACATAAATTTTGGCCAGAAAGCGTACTGTAGCATGGTTACAACGTAGTTAATAGGGTAACCGATCCGCACATCGATCGCTACTGACGATCGATCGTCTACTTTCCCCGCGTCCTGAGATTCATAGGTGGTTCCGTTCGTTGGTGACCATGGCGGTGACCGTTCATTCTTTCGCTTTGACCAAAGTAACTTGCCAAGCCCAGCACAGCGGGTCCTCTCCTCCCGCGCCTTGTCTTCATCACGCGCAGAGGCGTTGACTTGGTTGACCGCGTGGCACCAGGGAGCTGACAGTGCATTGTGCCTAGGCTGCGAGTCGCAGCTTCCGTTACAGTCACACCACCACCCGATCGTTAGACGCGCATCCCCGTACTGTCACGTCTTCCCTGCATGGCTCCGAGCGTGCTCTTGGGCTTGCCTGGCCCATGGGCCAAGGACGATCGTGAGCCGTCCGATCACTATACGACCAAGATCGGCGGCTTACCTGTGAGCAATCCTCGTGCCACACGCATCGTTTGACGAAATCCGTTTCCGCGCCCGCATCTGGCTCCGATCGCTGGCTTTTCTCGACGTCCATCGCCCATCTCCCGTATTTCAGCCCCCCCGTGAAACCCGAACTCAAATTCTTGAACCCTGTACCCCGGCTTTAACTCCGCGTGCCCCCGCCCCCGCGCTCCCCTGTTCCGCCGCGCGTGTCCCTCAGGACTGGCCCCCTTGGGCGGATCACCCGCCACCGCATCTGCTGCACTGCGCGCTCTGCCATGGGCCACTCTCCCTCGTGCTGCAGGTGGGTGCCAGTGCGCCCTATGCAGATTATCGTTCTGCCTCTGCTCCCTATCCCCCTTCTCCGCCCCTCCCTCTCCACTCTCCTCCCCCCTTCCTCCCCTCCTCCTCTACGCATTTGGCTTCCACTCACCCCACGCACTCGTCTGGTTCCTCGACTTCTTTTTGTCTTGCCATGTTAACATTATCCGCCAGTGTTGCTCCCTTTTTCCCTTTTTAATATCCTCCGTTTCAACCACAATCCGCTTCGTCTTCCTCCCCGTTCCTGTTTCCTTCCCCGTTCCCCGCCTCATTCCCCCATCTTCAGGCCTATGCCCCGCTCTCCCTTCCCGCAGCAGCAGACAGTGCAGCAGCAGGGGTGACACGTGGCAGCCTGCAAGTGGAGGAGCGGGTGCTGTACATGTTTGCATGCGCCAATGGGGGAAGAGAGGGGGAGAAGGAAGAAAGCGGGGGAACGGGGGGGGATGCTGCCTCCGCCCTCCCCCCATTTGGGGACCTCTCCTCTGTGTTTGGGGACGTGGTGGTGGGGGGAAGCGCGGGCGCAGGGCCGGATGGGGAGGTGGGGGAGGTGGCGGAGGAACTGGGGGGGATGGAGCTGGGGGAGGAAGGCGGAGAGCGAGGGGGGCAAGGGGATGGGCAGGAGGAAAGGGGCGAGACGGGGAAGGAAGAAGTGCAAGGTGGGGTGACGGGGCAGGGAGAAGCGGTGGAGATGTGTGGAGTGGGGAGAGGGGAGGCAGAGGGAGGAGGGGGAAGGAGAGGGCCATGTGCTGCTCAGGCTCAAGGGTGAGGCACTGTGGGCGGGGTGGGTGAGATGCACGGTGAGGGGGGGCATATGGAGGAATCATGGTGGGAGGAGCATGGTGGGGGGAAGCATGGTGGGGGGAAGCATGGTGGGGGGAAGCATGGTGGGGGGAAGCATGGTGGGGGGAAGCATGGTGGGGGGAAGCATGGTGGGGGGAAGCATGGTGGGGGGAAGCATGGTGGGGGGAAGCATGGTGGGGGGAAGCATGGTGGGGGGAAGCATGGTGGGGGGAAGCACGGGGGGGGGGGGGGGGGGGGGGGGCGCATGGCGGGGGGGAAGCATGGCAAGGGGCGCATTGAAGGGGGGCATGGCAGGGGGAGCAGTGGGGGGTGGAGGGGGGGTGGGCATGCAGAGGCCTTGCCTGTTTTGAGCCTTCCCTGGTGAGCCCGCTCTCTTGTCCCTCCTTTGCTCTCGCACTCCCCGGACTTCCATCTGCCCCCATCCTCCCGTCCTGTGCCCTCTGGCTCTGCTCCCTGTGCTCTGCTGGCATGCTTCATCGTTTCCCCCCCCCTTGCCCTGGTTGCTGCAGGTGGCGGATCATCCGCCTGCAGCAGCTTCCCTCCCAGCAACCGCCGCCACCACCAGAACAAACGGCACGAGCAGCAGCAGCAGCAGCAGCAGCACCAGCAGCAGTGGCAGCGTCATCATGGGGGGATGCAAGTTCGTGGGATGCATGCAGCACAGCAACAGCAGACAGCTGGGGGCTCACACCCCCACCCTCAGATGCTTCAGGTGCCCCTTCAGGTGTCACTTCCACATCAGGTTCGGAGTGGGGTGTAGCAGCAGGAGGAGAGTGGGGCACTGGCACCGGAGCATGTGACAGTAACGAGTTGGGGTCCCAAGTGGTAACCCCCCCGCTTGCATCTCTTGATGCTCTCTCCGCGTCCCTCAGTGCTGCCGCTGCCAAGGCTGCTGCTGGCACTGCTGGGGAGTCCAATGCAGCGGGGAAGAAGGATAAGAAGGCAGCTGTAGGCAGGGAAGCATCGGCAGGAGGAGCAGCAGGAGCACAGGTGGCATGCTCAAATCTGGGTGCTCTGCGGGTGCTCCCGTGCTTCTACGTGTTTTCGGAGGAAGAGGAGGCGACAGGCAGAGGCAGAAGCAGGGCAGCAGCATCAGCGGCAGCGGTGCCTGGCTCAAGAGATGGGGCGGATGGGGTGGCAGCGATGCAGGTGGAGGAGGGTGTGGGGGAGGGCGAGAAGTGGGAGGGCGAGGGGTATGAGTACGACCAGGCGCGCACCGTGGGGCGCCCGTACCTGCGCTTCAAGAAGCGCCTCGACAAGCAGCCCCACCAGTGTGTCAGGTGTGGTGCAGTGCGGTGTGGTGCGGTGCAGTGCGGTGTGGTGCGGTGTGCGGGTGAGGTGTGGCTTGGTTGGTGCATGGGTTAGGCATGGTGCTGGTGCGAGTGCCAGGTGGGGTATCTGAGCTGCACCTCATTCCGCCACGGTTCATCTTCTGCATGCCTCGATGTTCATCTTCTGCATGCCTCGATGTTCATCTTCTGCATGCCTCGATGTTCATCTTCTGCATGCCTCCATGTTTATCTTCTGCATGCCTCGATGTTCATCTTCTGCATGCCTCGATGTTCATCTTCTGCATGCCTCGATGTTCATCTTCTGCATGCCTCGATGTTCATCTTGTGCATGCCTCGATGTGCATCTTCTGCATGCCTCGATGTTCACCTTCTGCATGCCTCGATGTTCATCTTCTGCATGCCTCGATGTTCATCTTCTGCATGCCTCCATGTTCATCTTCTGCATGCCTCGATGTTCATCTTCTGCATGCCTCGATGTTCATCTTCTGCATGCCTCGATGTTCATCTTCTGCATGCCTCGATGTTCATCTTCTGCATGCCTCGATGTTCATCTTCTGCATGCCTCGATGGTCATCTTCTGCATGCCTCGATGTTCATCTTGTGCATGCCTCGATGTTCATCTTGTGCATGCCTCGATGTTCATCTTGTGCATGCCTCGATGTTCATCTTCTGCATGCCTCGATGTTCATCTTCTGCATGCCTCAATGTCATCTTCTGCATGCCTCGATGTTCATCTTCTGCATGCCTCGATGTTCCCGCCTAACCAGCTACCGCTTCAACGGCCACCCCATCAGGCCCTGCGCCCTGCCTTTCCTCCTCCCAGGCGCATCTAGAACCTGCCCTCTCTGCAACGCCCCCCCAGTGTTTGCACCACAGCTCATGCCGCTGCTGCTATTCTGGTGCCTCTTCCTCCATTCCCCCCCATCAGGTACAGCTTCAACGGCCACCCCATCTGGCCCTGCGCTCCGCCGCCCCTCCTCCCAGAGACATCCCGAGCCTGCCCTCTCTGCCACGCCCCCCGCGTGTTTGAGCTAAAGCTCATGCCGCCGCTGCTCGTGTTGTGTCTCCCCATCCATCCCTCCCATCAGGTACCGATTCAACGGCCACCCCATCTGGCCCTGCGCCCCCCCGCCCCTCCTCCCAGACGCATCCCAGGCCTGCCCTCTCTGCCACGCCCCCCGCGTGTTTGAACTGCAGCTCATGCCGCCGCTGCTCTTCTTCCTGCTAGAGGCTCTCAGGGAGCGGCAGGAAGGGGGAGGTGAAGGGGGAGCGCGGGGTTACGGGGGAAGGAGGGAGGTGGGGTATGGGGAGGTGGCGGAGTGGGAGTGGATGACTGTTGCTGGCTTCACTTGCTCGCAGGTGCGTGTGGTGGCACGGGAGTGGTGGCGTGGGAGTGCTGGTGTGGGAGTGGTGGAGTTTGAATGGAATGAGGATGGTTGAGGGCGAGTGGAGTGAGGGCGGTTGAGGGAGTGTGAGAATGGCGGGGCTGGAGAGGCGGAGTGGGAGTGGGTGACTTTTGCTGGCTTCACTGTGCATGAGGTGGGGGAGAGTCATGAGGGGAATAATCAAATTGCGGAGTGCTTAGTGGACCAATGCAAAAGAGCATGTGATATGCAGTGCATGTGCTAATCCAACATTTCTCATTTCCCCTCTTTTGCTCACAGGCCTGTGACACAACTGACCTGGTCGGTGGGAATAATTCTCCATGGCTGATTGCAGAGGAAGCGATTGTGTTGGTCAATGACCAGTAGAGTAGAGTTGGAGGCCCTGATGTCATCTGAGGCAGGGCCCACGATATCAGGGCAAAACATCCTGATTACCCTGATTTCAGGATGAAGTTTTAAACATGCCCTGTAATTTCAGAATGCTGCTCATTTGTACCCTGTGGTCTCAGGATGTTGCTCCCTGATATGCCCTGAATTTTTAGGATTGCCGTACTGTTTTGCCCTGTAGAGCCAGGATGAATATTTCAGCATCCTTCCTATTTTACGGTAGCACAGATTTTTCAGTTTAGAGTTACACACTGACAAATTAGTGTAGTGGTGTACCGGTGACACTGATCAATCTGCCTAGTGTCGGGGAGCACACTGATTCGGGTACAGGTGTACTGGGGGGGTTCGGCTTGAGATACCTGCAAAAACACTCCTTGAGGACATGGTTCCTCCTGCACTAACAAAATCAGTATAAACCCAACCCCTAACACTAATGCGGACACGAATTGGGGCAGGGCACACTGATGCATCGGCATGCCCTGAAACCAATCTGAGGGCCTGATGCGAAGAGTGACGTTGCCCTTATTTGACACGCTTTCCTCTTAGTGGCCAGCTCTTGAGGTTGTCAAGTCAATGGAGCTGTCTGCGCTTAGTCTCATGGACCACTGTGTTTTCTCCTGACGTCTAGAATGCGTCTAGTCTGCATTGGCCTGGACCGTGCGTTCTAGCCCATTTTTCTGGCGTTAGTGATTTGACCTTGAGAAGCGAATCTGTCTGAAGATGTCGAAATTTCTAGCAACACCGAGTATGAGGAACATTTTTAAGTCGAGCAAGCCGAAGTCGCCTGCCGAGCTTGTGAAGTCGACCGTTGAGCTGCTGACGTTACTGCGAAGCTCCGAAGATGCCAAAAAAACTGCGAAGGTATGCAGAGCTCTCATGAGCTTGTGAATGTCATTACGATTGCCATCTTAGATTCTTTGCTTTCTTGAAATTTCAGATCGTCGAAGACCTGGAGAAGCATTTGTATGATATTCGTATAGTGTTGTACGGGGATACTGAGACGTTCCCGAACGCAGACGCTGTGACTCTCGTGGGAGCAGAGGTGTTTAAGGGGAATTTCTTGGAACTTCTCATTAGGAACATTGGTTCCCTGTCTCTTGATGTAAGTGTTGCCGTTGGTGTGCTTATTCGCCTGTCCTGTGAATTTGAGGTGCTGAGAGTTGTATTGATAGTTGGCATTTATTGTGTGCAGTCAAAACGGTATGCGGTGCATATCAATGCGAGCCTGCAAAAGAGGCAAATTCAAAATCGCATGGTTGCGGGCGAGTACCTTATGCAACACACGGACCTTCTTGACCTTCTCATAAAAGGGTATGGTCGAATCGGCATCAAGACAGTGCTGGTGGAGGGCTCACATAATGTTCTCATTTTGATGCAGATACGAGGATCCAGTTCTGGCGCTCTACTACGGCTTGATGCTTCGGGAATGCATTCGCCACCAATCGGTTGCAAAGTACGCATCAGGTTGAAGCGTGCGGTTGTTCCGTTAGTGGCATTGCCTCTGCTTGATAGTGACTGAGTTTTTTCGTTGCAGGTACGTCTTGGAGAGCAAAGACTTTTTCAAGTTCTTCCACCATGTCGAACTACCAAGTTTTGAAGTTTCTTCTGATGCTGCTGCAACATTTAGGGTACATCCTTGTTTATCACTGGCTATTCTCTCCTTTTCTCACGCACCTCTGACTTACTGAGCATCTTTGAGTATTTTGTGATCGCAGGAGCTCTTGATGCGACACAAGGCCACAGCAGCTGATTTTGTATTGAGGAATTATGCCAAGGCAAATGATTGAATGCTGGAACCAAGCTTGCTCTACGTTATGCCTTAATGACTTGGACTAAAGCCATCTCATGCTTTCCTGTTGCAGTTTCTTGAAGCGTACACCAAGTTGTTGCAGTCATCTTCCTACATTACGAGGCGTGTTGCAACCAAGGTTAATTTCGTCTCGTCTTTCACCTCGTTTGATGTCATTTTATCCTCTGCAACTCTTCCTGTCGCTCTTGTGCCTGTTGCTGTCTATCCCTTTCTTCACTACAACCTGGTTATTCTTTTGGAGCCAACTTATTCCTACTATTCGTCTGTTTACAGCTTTTGGCAGACATGCTTCTGGATCGTGCCTATGTCATGGTGACCTTGAGATTTGCGAGTGATGTCAACAACCTGATTGTATCGATGAACCTCCTGAGGGTAATCGGTGGCTCGATTGGCTTGCATCTTTTTCCATTGCGGCCATTTATTTGATGTATGAAGCTTTTCCCTCTTTTTTATTCCAGGATACAAGTAAAGTGATTCAAGTTGATGCGTTTCACATCTTCAAGGTGTGTAGTGTCAAATGTCATACCAAAGAGGTGCTATTTCAATCTCGAGACCTTGATTGTAACGCTCATCCACCCACTGTGTTTTTTTAGGTGATTGTGGCCAACCCGAAGCAGCCACAAGATGTTCAGCTGATCCTTCTTAAGAACAAAGATAAGCTGCTTCGTTTCCTGCCAGCCCTGACACTTGAGAAAGGAACAGAAGCAGGTATAGCTTTGGGATTTTCCGTCCAGAACGCATGCGCTGCACAGGAGCTCTTTTCCCGCTCGTTTCTCAAGTCCCGTTTCTCATTTTCCATTTGCAGAAATTTCCTCGTTCGAGGAAGACAAACAAGCTATTCTGAAAGTAATTGAATCAATGCAGCTTCGTGACGTCTCCACCTAGTCCTGACACCAGGGCCTCAGATTCATTTTTAAGTACCCTGACCCATCAGTGTCCATGTGAGAAAAAAGGCTGATTGACAGCCTTCGTATGAAAAAAAGCCTGAATTGTCAGGGTTACTAAAAAGAAAAGCCTGATTTCTACACAAACATACTTGATACTAGATTATCAATGCAGCATTTATGAAACTTGACAGCAAAGGGACACCGGGATCTTACACTTCGGTAATGAACTGAGACAATTCATGCTGGCAAAAACCTACTTGCTAACATAATTAAACACCATTGTCGAAATGTTGTGTCAAATGTAATATCTCACTGTAGACTATATTGGGGTACTCATTAGGCTGTACAACCCATTAGGGTTTCCTATTTGTATGTTTGTACTCCTCCATTCTACTCATTCCTCTTTCCTTATTCTGACATGGTATCAGAACAGGTTCGTTCCTTAGGGCCCACCGAACGTTCCGCCCTGCCCGGCCTTGTATTCTTTTTTTTCTGCCCTCCGGCCCAGCGTGCTGCCCTGCCCACGCACCCCCTGCGCCTGCCCGTGTGCGCACATTGCTGCCCTGCCCGCGCGCCCTGCTGCCCTGCCTGGCTGCTGCGCCGCCCTGCCTGCCCGCACGTCGCGCTTTGCTGCAGCCTGCGCGTCGCGCCCTGCTGCCCCTCGCGTCGCGCCCTGCTGCAGCCCACGCGTCGCGCCCCACTGCTGCCCGCGCGTCGCGCCCTGCAGCCCGCGCGTCGCACCCTGCTGCCCCGCGCGTCGCGCCCTGCTGCAGCCTGCGCGTCGCGCCCCACTGCTGCCCAGCGCCGCCCTGCCCACACGCGCTCTGCCTGCGCCACGCGCCCTGCCCTGCCTGCGCCACGCGCCCTGCCCTGCCAGCGCGCCACGCGCCCTACCCTGCCTGCGCCAAGCACCCTGCCTTGCCACCGCGCCACGCCCCCTGCCCTGCGCGCGCTAGCGCCCTGCCCTGCCCGTGCCAGCGCCCTTCCCTGCCAGCACGCCACGCGCCCTGCCCTGCCCTGCCTGCACCACCCGCCCTGCCCTGCCAGCGCGCCACGCGCCCTGCCCTGCCTGCGCCACGCGCCCTGCCCTCCCTGTGCCGTGCGCTAGCGCCCTGCCCTGCCCGCGCCAGTGCCCAGCACTGTCCGCGCCAGCGCTGCCCTACACGCTGCCTAGTGCTGCCTCGCCTTGCCAGAGATGCCCTGCACGCTGCCCAGCGCTGACCTGTCCTGCGTGCTCGCGCTGCCTGCGCGCTCCTGCCCTGCCCCGCGCGCACCGCCAACTGCCGCTACCGCCTGCGCCCGCTCCTACAGTTGCTACCGCTACTGCTCCTACCACTGCTGCCACTACACCTACCGTCCAAGCTATCGCCAATGCAGTAGCTACTTTCCACCTTGCGCCGCTGCTGCTGACTGACACTGCCTACCATGGCCACTATCACTGTCATACGTCAACGACAGCCGAGTGCGCGGGATTCTCTCTCGCCGCAGCAGCTTCGCGGGTGGGCTATCTGGTGGGGCAGCCCCGGTGGCGGAGCTAGCCGTGCTCGTCGGCGGAAGCCGCTTTCGCCACAGCACCGTCGTGAGTGGGCTGTCCGGCGGGGTGCTACTACTGGAGGTACCTATGAGTCTACTCCTGCTGGTAGTGCCGCTAGTAGACGCGGAGGTTCTGGGGGTGGACATTAGCAGCAGCAGCGTCCGCTAGAGACTCTCTCCCCGCAGCGGCTTCGTGAGTGGGTTGTCCGGTGGGGCAGTCCCGGTGGCGGAGGTTTTCGGGGTACTCGTACTGAGGGTGTAGAGGCACATGGTGGCGTAGAGGATACTAGTCTCCGTGCGTGTGACTCAACTAGCGCAGAGGCAGAGCCTGAGGAGGCCTTGCACACTTTTACTCTCGACTCAGGCGCGTCTCGTTGCTTCGTCCGCGACAGCACCACAGTCACAACGCTCACAGTCCCTGTCCCTGTCACACTGGCC